CCCCCCATGCAGCGTGGGGCAGTGGGGGGAAGTGGGGATTTCCCCCCTGCCAGGAAGCACCCAGTGAGTGGGGGCTTTTTTATAAAAGTGAGTGGGGGCCAGGAGCTGGGGTGGGCGGGACAGCCATGGCAGGGGCTAGGGAAGTGGGCAGGGGTTGGGGGTGCTCAGGGGGGCTGGGGAAGCAGGCAGAGGATGGGGCCTGGCAGGGGCCCCCCCATGGTCCCCTCTCCACTCCTCCAGCTTCCCCTACCCCGCCCCCTACTTACCAGCGCCGAGTCCAGTTCCAGCTCCCTGCTGCAGCAAACCAGGACTGCCTGAATTGTCAAAGCTCTCCAAATATTTCCAAATTGATTCAGAGAGCTTTGAATTGATTCAGGCCTTTTTATTGGTCCCCTGATTCAATTCAGATTTGGAGATTCGGCCACCGAATCAGGCTGAATCTCCTTTGATTTCTCACAGCCCTAGTATGTAGATGTGCCCACTGGTAAGTGAAAATAAATGGGATGTATTTTTAGGAGACTTACATTCACAATTAATTATTGGCGAAAAATTACAGGTGGCCTGAATTGAGGATATTTAGAAGGATCTCAAAACTTTGTACACATGTACAGGCTATATGTCTCAATTTGCATAGTGAGATTCCTCCTGGGTTGGAAGTGGCCTGGTATAACCTGTGTAAGACCAAAAGGAGGACTTGCTTCCAGTATGTCAAGGGGAGGTGGAATAACCCCCTACCGGGTTCAGACACCCAAACACAAGTGCCATTGGAAGTGCACACTGTGGTAATGTGGTCAAGAAAGAAACAGTGACATTTCAGCATTCCCTTTTAATCCCAGGGCTGTGGATGAGGATGGTGCTAAATTCAAACAGGGTGGAGGAGCATGCTGGACCCTCAGACCGCTGGGTCCCTCATTCAGCTTTTCCCCTGAACTCTCAAACCCTCCTGATCCCACATATGGCCCTCTCTAGGCTCCCAGACCCCATGTCCCATGTCCACCCTTCTCTGTGGGCTCCTGGTCCCTGGTCCCACATACAGCTCTTCTCTCTGGGCTCCCAGACCCCTGGTCTGACTTGCAACCCCTCATGGGCTTATGAACCCTAGTTTGGTTCTCACCCTTCCCTGGACCCAAGGGCCATCTGGTCTGACTGTCAGCCAATCCCTGGCTCCTGAACTTTTAGGTCCCACACTCAGACCCCCTCTCTGTCTTTATACCTTTTTTTGATTTCTGTTTCACTCTCAGCCCTGCTTTGTGTTTCTGGATTCTCTAATCACACTCTCAGCCGTCATTGAGCCTTGGACTCCTAGATTTCTAGATCCTCAATTTCTAGGCCAGGGGTGGCCAATTGTTTTGACTGAAGGGCTGCTTGATGTTTTGGTGGGGTGCCAAGGGCCATATGGGTAGCCCTGCCTCTTGGAAGTTACCCCACTTCTGGTCACCATATTGGGACCAGACATTCCTTCCACTAACCCCTGACCTATGCTCTTGCAGCTCCCTCCTCTTGGCCCCCAGAAATACTCCTTTTGGGAGTGGAGGGTTGCCATCTTGGAACCAGAAAAAACAAATTGTACACTAAAAGTCAAACATGTACTTTAAGGTATATTATATAACATATTTTAACTATACTATAAGGTATACTATAACATATTTTAATTTTATTACAAAAATATTTGTCATGATTTGTGTTTGCAT